TAACTTAGAACATCAAAGATCTAATGCTCTAAGGGTCAATTACAACTAAAACGTAAATAGAAAGCTTGAAAGCAAAAAAGGAAAGAAGAACAAAAGAAGACTTAGGTTTTTCAGGGGTTAAAAACATATTTATACCCCTTATAAGAGTATCCGGGTCAACCCGAAACATAAACGGATCGTCCAGTTTGAGTCAACGGTCGACCCAGAAAAGTCAACAAAATGCATTAAATGTCGGTCACTCCATATCAGGGAAGTGACCGATTTCCTTTGCGCCTCCAGCGCGTCTAGCAGCTCTCGTGTTGCGATACCAGCCCCTCGATGGGCGCAGTATATCGGTCTTCCTCATCGGTGGATGCCGATATCAGGGGATATCAGGTTTCCTCTGCTATTTCTTCAGCCGGTTTGATGCGTCTGGTCTAACGGATGGAGGGTCTTGATGCTCCATCATAACAAGGGGATAACCTGGGACATTTGTGCATAGATTAAGGGGCACTAACGTCATGATTCTCACTCAAACTGTGAACTTTAGTGGGTTTGTTGAGAATCCATCCTTCCGATGTTCCAAGTGCTTCTCACCGACATTCCTTGATGATTCATGACCGAATTCTGCTCCACTGCTTCCTGTTTTGCTCCAGAAACTTGCAATTCCCATGTGCATCCACTCCTCTGTCCTCAACTCCAATCCTCTAGGCTCTAGTAAGCCGGATAACTCCAATTAAGCACAAGTACCACCTGAAAAAGGGTAAAAGTAGAGAAATATGTACAACTCTAACCTAGGACTCTAGAATGCAAATCTGAACTAAACTAGAGTTAAAGGATGCCTATATGATGTAGAATGATGCTAAACAGAAGATAAAGGGATGCAAATATATACACAGATGATGCAAATATATAGGTATATCACTAGCCAAGAGCACAGCTAAAACTACACACGACCAAGCCTTACCGAGCCACCGGATCGGCTAGGCTAGAAAAACGACCAGCTTTGTCTAAAAGCCCAATCGATGGTGAAGCTTTCTAAATGAAGATGGTGGAGGCAATGAAGCTGAAGCAGAACGTTGCTTCTCCGGCGAGAAAAACAGAAGGTTCGAAGGAGATCGAGTCTTTGAGATGGGAGAGGCAAAGCCAGAGAAGAGAGGAGACGTGGCCAACAATCCCACACTCGCTGAAGCTCCAAAACCCAAAAAAAGAAGAGATGAGACCGACCAGATCTAGAATGTTTAAACTC